TCAATTCTCAAAACATACGAAGCAAAAAGTAAACTCAATATTTATCTATGGGTTTATTTATAAATAAATCTTAATTTCATTCATAAAACAAATTGTAAAATCTTACGCAGGGTAAACTAACCAGTGAAGGAACATTTAAGCTTCGTTTTCCTTTTAAATAAATCATATTAATTTCAAAATTCGTAATTTTAGTTAAATAACAATATCAGCATGTTTGTTACTAATTACAAATTACGTAAAAAAATTGTAGAGAACTTACTAATAATATTGTTTTAAAATTTTGGAGGTTCAAATAGCAAGTAGTAAGAAGACCAAGTGAAGGAACAGCTCTTACCCGTGAATGAACACCCAGTAAAGGAACACTTAATTTTGGTTATTTTTTAATGCTCTTTATGAATTTATAAAAGCCATACAAATATTTAAAAACAAGCCTATTCTTGAAATTATAACATATAAATACTTGGAAAATGCAAACTTTTTTTGTAATCATGAAATGAAAATTAAAGTGTCAACATATTAACACATACTGTTCATTCACTGGGAAATCTATGCCCATTATAGGAACATGCCTGTTCCCTCACTGGTTAGAAGTTTTTTTTCGTATTTTTAACATACTTTTGATGCGGAACATCACTAAAGGTACAAGAAAATTAAAGTTTATCTTTTATTTTCATTAACTTAGAAAAAAAACCAGTAAAGGAACACTTGTTCCTTCACTGGTTTTTCATCGTTTGGTGATCCAGTGAATAAACACCCCCTTATCTCAGTACTTTATTATGTTAACATGCTTAAAAAAATAAAACGTAACTTCAATAACTATATTTTGAATTCTCTTTTTCACGCTGAGAAAAATAAAACTATTGCATGCAATTAATTCCCCTTCAAACATATAAATACAAAAACTCACCTTATAATTTTTTCAAAGAAGCAAGGTGTTGCAGAGATAATAACAAATTCAAAAATTTTTCCAGAGAAGTCTATTTGACCAGGTAATCCAAAACATTGCTAGATGACTTCCTATTGTTTGACAGTAAGCTATTGTTACCAATCAATCTAAAGAAAAACTTTCAAATTCTTATTTTTAATCAATATATATGAAATGTTCCTTCACTGGTTGGTTTACCCTAAATAAGTTCAGTCAAAAGTTAATTTATTTGTGTTGCTTGTTCAAAGGCGTGTTGCTTGTTCTAAGGGAAAATGTGCAAAACTTGAATGAAAGTATAACAAGATAGATTATTTCACTATTGCACATGCGAACATAAAATACACTTGCTAAATGCAGCTTTGTCTTAAAATGAATTAGGCAAAAGAACAAAACAAAAAGAATGCAAGGAAGCGGGATTTTACATTACTTAATGGAATTTTGACATTATTTTTACTATGTAGTTTTGAAGTCTGAAACATAAAATTCGAAACGCTTTATGGAAGTTAAGTTTCCACAATTTTGTAACCATTAGCAGTGGGGTCAGCATTGCGCACGCTTTTTCTATTTTCTAGACAATTTGGTACCCATCAATCCGAAGCTGGGTGGGTTTCAAATCATCACTGAGTATAAAACTTAAATCTTTCACAATGACAGCTCAGTGCCTGAACCACTAATCCATCATGGTACAACGATTTCGCTTTTTAAAAAATTGTATTTTCTGAATTTTTTTAAACTTTTTAACTAATATTTTTTAAAGTTTGTATTTCAATTTTTAAAATTAATTAAGAATAATTTACGTCAAAATTCTATTAAAATCTGAGTTTCAGTTTCAATCTAGTGTTTGTTCAATTTATTGGTACCGCGTCTCATGTACATAGTGCAAAATAAAAAAATGGACTACACTGAATGAATGTCTTTTGATCTAATGTTTGGAATTTCGCGTTTTAGTACTCAGTCTTGCAGATTTGAAAGGGTGACCTCAAATATGCTAATCAAATAGTATCCACGATAAAGTTACGAATTCAGACGTAAAGATGTATTTTTTTTCTGATTAAACATACTTTATTTTTGACGGATTCGGATTTTTGACCTCCAAAATATAGGGTGTAACCGCAGTCAGGAAAATATGGTCCCCATAGTTTGGTCAGTCGAGCAGACTGTTTAATGTTAATTTAAATTTTTCGTATTACGTCATAGCTGATGAACTCTCTATGCGAATTCAAAAATTTTTGCACTCAATTAATAAAACCGTTTAACCAAAAATAATTCTATGCAATTTATAACTTTTAGTAAATATTTATGATTTTTTATTATTTTGTTTAACAACAGTCGAAGAAAATTTAAATTGTGAGGTTCAAGATTTTGTACATCATTTTAAAGGATGTAATTTCACACGAAAAAAAAATTTGATGGAAATTGGTTGAATAGTACCTGAGAAATCGAATTTTAAAAAAGCCGTATTTATATTTCTCAGGAACTATTCGACCGATTTGACTCAAATTTTGCTTTTTTTTCATGCGAAATCACATTTGTTAAAACGATGTAAAAGATATAAATCTTTCAATTTAAAATGTTTTCGATTATAATGAAATAAAATAATAAAAAATTATAAATATGCATTAAGGGTTATATTTTTCATGAAATTATCTTTGGGTAGAAGAATTTTATATTTGTTTTAGAATTCGCTTTAAAAGTTCTCAAATTATGGTGATATATGCAGAAAATAAAAATAACATTCAGTGGTTCAAACTTTGGACCGCTCTTCTGACCAAAGTATGGGCACCATATATCCTAGATTGCGGCTACCCTCTATATTTTGGGAGTCAGAAATCCGAATTTGTTGAAAAAAAAATCTATGTTCCAGAAAAAATGCGTTTTGTGTCTGATTTCGTAACTCAAAATATCGTCTGCGCTAAATAAATAGCATATTTGTCCCCCTCTTGAATCATTAAGATTGAGTCCTAGAACGTTAAGATCCTATCATTAAAACAAAAGTTATTCAGAATGGTCTGTTTTTTTTATTTTGTTCTCTGTATTTGTTCATCTCTACTTTTGTGACCATAAGTTTTTCTGTAAAAATGATTTTTTTTAAATTTTGTTCTCCTGTATATACATTGTATTTCTATACTGAAACAGTGGATTTTTTTTTGTGAATAACTCATTCATCAATTTTCATTTTATTATTGATAAACCTTCATAAATCATATTTTTATACTGAAACAGTGATTTTTTTTTGTGAATAACTCGTTCATCAATTTTCATTTTATTATTGATAAACCTTCATAAATCATAATTTGACAAACGGATTCTCTCTGATTTGTCATTTTTCTAAATATATTTGTTTAATGCGACATTTATTTTTATACTGAAACAGTGATTTTTTTTGTGAATAACTCGTTCATCAATTTTCATTTTATTATTGATAAACCTTCATAAATCATAATTTGACAAACGGATTTTCTCTGATTTGTCATTTTTCTAAATATATTTGTTTAATGCGACAGATAAATTTCATGCTGAAATTCTATTTTTAATGATTATTGTCTTGCTTTATATTTGAAGATATATACCATTCAAAAGTCACAGCTTCTAGAAAGAAACTTTGTTATCTTCAGTAATTTACTTTTTTCCTTATAAATAGATTGCTGATAACAAACTAGGAAAGAAATTATTTAAAATCAAACGAATGTCTGATAAATCAGCTTCTAATGATATATAATTAAATACTGCAGGTTTCATTCTTTTATCTCTTTGATTATACCTAAAATATGAATCTTAGTGCATTTTTCATCTCATCAATCATTTAATAATATATTTTTAAAAAGTAATCGCACTCTTTTACTTCAATCCTAGAAAATACTGCTTCTTAATTCGTCAACACATACTTTGTTTGATTATATATTCACGTAAATATAATTTTTAAATGAATAATAATAGTAATACTAAAAAAAGAAAATATGAGTAATAGTTATAATTGGTTTTTGAGAAACTAAGTAATAAAAATTTTGATAAATTGAGTAAAGAGAAGAATATAAGCCTTCATAAATGCTAGTGATATTTTATTCTTGAACAATATTTCATTTCGATATCATAAATTCTATTCATTTTTCACTAAGTACTCTCGTTAAAGCGCTCTTTACATCTTATTGCACAAAATAAATATCACATTGAGGATCACACAAAAGATTTATGAAGTTACGAATCATTAAATTTAAATGCTTTTATCATTGGCTTATAGGGAGCTTAAATGTTTTCTAAGCCAAATAAAGATTTGCCTCTAACATCATCATCCTTTAACGACTGCATTTTTTTCTTATTATGTATGTTGATACAATATAATAATTAGAGTGAGACTTTTTTTATACAATTATGCTTTTCAATTGGCAGACCATAATCTTGTTTTGTAAAATTATTTGGACTCCGATATTCTATAAGACCACAAAACATAAAATTAATGATATAAAGATGAGCAACTATTCGTAGAATAGCTTTTTCGTTTTTATGTTCATTGTATTAGTTGTTTTCGTTTTTTTTTCTGCGTATAACATGTCTTTTGTATATTCATTGGCTAATTGTCTTGATTAACAATTGAATACAAATAGTGCAAATTTTTTAATTCTAAACTGTTAAAAATAATCACGGTATAAGGTATCGACACTTTGAGTGTATCTGTGAAAGCCATTTCAATCTAAATTGCATTTTGACTGTAATTCCATTTCCATTTTAATAATCTATGAATAGGTGTAAAATATAATACGTAAAATTTTACAGTAATATTTTTTTCATTAGAGTCATTCTGTGATTTTATGGTAATTATTACTGTAAAAATTAAACTACATAAGATTGTTTGATCCGTAACATGTTCGCTTAAAAATGAATTTTGTGGAAGAAAGTACCAGCTTCCTGAAAACTGGTGCCTTTTATCGTAATCTGATGCTTAATTCATTACAGTTTAGCCAATGTTTGTTTGTCTCCGCAATATTTTATAATTTTTATTTTTTATTTTATGTGTTTCTTAAATTGATTTATTGAATAGAGTGTTTAATTACAATTCGAATGAGAGAAATGCAAAAAATATTGACATTAAACTATATTTTATCTTTTGTAACATCAATAGAATCTTCTAAAACAATTTGATAGTGGGTAGTAAATTTCATTCAATCCAGTTTCTGAAAACTCTTTTTAGTAGAGTATATACTTCTGTTCCTTTCAGGCTTTCCGATGGCGTAGATCCAGGTGGTGGTAAAACGGCTTTACATTTTTCTTCTTTTCCAGTAAATCCATTGCATATGACTTCAGGCAATTGACCAAATATCATTTCAGTAAACTCCTTGTCTGTTTGTACTGTTGCTTCGTCACAATTATTTTTCAACAGGTCTAGGCTATCGTGGTGTATTTTTCCATAAGCACTAAAATATATAAGAACAGTTGAAGCTGAGACTCTATAAACACGCAATTTAGCTACAAGTCATAAGATGATTAAACATAACATTAATAATTTTTATAACATTTTATTAGAAATACGTTGAAAAAAAACGTGTTAATTTTTAAAACTGTGCACTGCTATAAAAATTCCGAATCAAACTTCAGTATAAATTACCAATACTTTTAGTCATCCGATACTTAAATTATCCTTAAAATCTATTATACCGTTAAATTCACGGTATCGTTATATATTATTCCACAATTTTCACAGTAATATAGAGTGGTAATATAGAGTGATTCAGTGATGTTACGATTATTACTAGTTTAAAAGTAGTATTATGTACACCAATTTTTTTTTTTGTTTCGTAACATGATCCGGGGAAAATGGATTTTATAGTAAAATCTACCAGAACCCTGAGTGCTGATGCTTTTACTTTTATCATACCAAGTTACTTTTTACCGTAGTTTGAGCGGGTATTTTTACAGTGTTGATTGAGTAATTTAAGTATATCACCATTATTTTCAAAATGCTTGATATTGAGAAAATGACTTCATGTAATTGAGAGATGCATTTTTTAATTATATAACTCATCAATCCTAAAACCTTACCACTTGAAACCTATTTATTGCAATTTTTGAAAAGAATTTTGTATATCATTCATACATTTCTTCATATATTCAAGCTTTTTAAAAGATTTTTTTTATTGTTGTCCTTCAATGGAACAGCAAATATTTTCAGATATTTAGCAGTTTAGCATCACCTGAAATCATATAGAGTAACTAGGTTTTCACAAAAAGTATTTTTTAAATCTATTTCAATCAGATGATTTAGTGATCCAATGAATGAATGAATTAAGTCTATAAAATCCATTTTGAGCACAAAATAATAAATTGAAACCTAGTTAGAAAAGTGGAACGGTACATCGTGATTCGTTACATTCAAAACTAGTTTTGGCATTTATTTTTCTTTATTTAAAAAAATCATATATATATATATATATATATANTGCATATATATATATATATATATATATACAGATTTTTTGTTACGTAACTTTTTTCGGCTAAAAATAGATTTACCGTATTTCCGTATTTCTTTCATTATGGTAACATACAAATAAGAAGTGTTTTTAACTTACCAGCATGCATAAGTTACTTTTTTATCATCAGGGACTTCTTTAAATTTCTCAACGGCTGCTAGGAGATACAGCATGCCCTCTCTCACTTCTTTCATTTGAGACACCTTATTGAGGCATGGTGCATGAGCTATGTATTCTGTCAATAGATGTATTAAGTATTATAGTATGTTAAGTAACTAAGCTTTTTGCATTGTAATTAAAACTTAGTCTAAAATGTAGCAAATAAAATTTATTAACAATTGTATTTAAAATATACTTTTTATTGTTATGGAGCTACAAAAGAAAATATGATTTATTGAAAAATGTGGTTGACGGAAATAGAAATAAAAAATTGGAGATATTTCATTATTTTATTGCTTTCCATCTTTTTTTCATAGTGCACAGACTAGAATACATTTTTATTTTATAACCGTCGTTGAACAGCCGACCCAATTCCATGGGTTTACGACTACTTACGTTCAACTCCGTAGCCTTGTAATTTTGAACCAATCCAGAAGACAAGGAAACTCTTGGATCAGTACCCCCAAAGGTATTGATTTGTTGTGGGCACATGGAGGACTTTGAGACTCGACAGATTTAACGTGCATCAGTCACCATTTACTACCCGTGAAGTCTTCGGCCGGCGAGGATCGAACCCACGACCTCTTGGATATGGGCCCAGCGCCCTTCCGACCAGGCTATCCCGGCCCAGACTAGAATACATTAACAAAATTTTAGTTTGAACAAAAAAAAAGTTCTTTCCAAGAAAGTTTATTTTATTTTTATTTTTAAAGCATATTCTCAACAAACGCTTAACGTTTGTACTGACACTTAAAGATTAGAATTAAAAATATTTTTGAATATATTTTTCTGTTACGTTTTTGATATATTTTTTTAATTGCGTCATTTCAATTTCACGCTATGAAAAATCTGTGAGAAATATAGATTAGTTAAAAACATTTTTTTTTATGATCATTGATACTATTTCCTCTTTGAAGATGAATGTATAGACTTCAAATGCAAAGTGAAATCTAACTTAAAATTATTTCAAGTGTGTTAACATTTCTTTATCAACTAAAGCGAACCTAATGCTATAATCTAGGGGCAAATGGTGCTTAATGAAACATGGGAATCGATGAAACATACAGTCTAAAATCACTCAAAGATTTTTTGCAGTTTTGATATGCGTCTTTCGACTTCATTTTCTAGGTGCTGGTTAGATATTCATGTATCCGTCTCTTTACATAAGTAGCAAATTAAGATTAACTTACTTCCATTGGAAGTATGTTTCATTTTCAAAAATTTTCGTTTTTTTCTTATCGTTAAATATAATGATATTTTTTTGTATACATTTCAATTTTACTGTTATTATATACATGCATCCAAAACCAGAATTAAAAAAAATATCAAATCTTGGAAAGCAACTTTTTTACCAAGTTAATTTCCCCTGGGTATAATGAAAAACATTTCCAGATGAATATATTCATTTGAAATAAAATTTTATGGGTAAATATAAATCCAGTGAAAAAAACCGAATAATAGTTTTCTTTAATAAAATTAACTTATTTTCGAAGAGGAAATGGAAAAATCGAAACATGCATTTTGTGATCATGGGAAATTTGAAATTAGCTGTAATAATGGGAAATTAGATGATTAATATAAGAAAAAAATAAAAAAATGAAAAGAATGGTTTATTGTTTAAACTTTTTATAATTTTTTAAACTGTAACAGTAAAGGAAATTGCATAGTTAAGAATACTTTTTATTGCATTTAATATGTATTTAGTATAAATTGCTGTATTTATTATGCAATTTATTATGTAATAAAATGCCTAGAAATCAAGTAAAGATGTTTAAAAGGCAATTTTGATGAAACTGACATAAGAAAACTTTTAAGAATGTTTTGGATGGAGAGAACAAGAGCCTTTGCTTACTGCATGAATTGTAAGCATGTTATTTAAAGTAGGTGTAAAAAGTTTAGAAAATATGCTTTACTAAGCGAAGAAACTGAAGTATCTTTGAAGTTTTCACTGAATATAGCGTAAACAGTCTATATTTACCAGTATTAGCTGTATAGTTACAAAACAATGTGATATTTGCATTTAAAAAACTTTGCGACCAAACTAGATTTAGATCAATGGTACAAATGCTACCATTGGACTAGAAGGTAAAAAATTAGCTACCTGATAATTAAGAAAAAAAAAGATTGTAAAGGTTGAGTTTTTGGATTTCATAAACATAAATCAAGAAATCTCAGATACTTACACGTTACGCTATTACAGAAATTAAATGTGATGGAGTTTTTAGAAGTAAAGACGTAGACATAGATTGCAGGAGATAAATTTAAATTATGCTACATGTATAATTTAGACGAAATTGCACGGATCATGCACAGAACTTCCCAATCATGATAAAGTTCTCAGCTGAAGAAGCAAAAAACAAGAAGGGCAAGAAACATCTGGTGAAACAATGTGTGAATTTAAATATTTCTGAAAATTTCTTGGGTTGTCCTTTATTGTTGTTATTTATAGTAAGTTCAAAGCTTTAGAAGTCAAAGGAAATATCATTTAAGTATGGGAATTTATTACTGATTCGAAATATTGGTCAACCCTTTTTTGTTCATGGAGTCAGTTTCAAGCTTTCGAGAGCATGGGCGTTTTTCCGAAGAAAATGCAGTGAAGAATTACGAATCAATCATAATGATTTCCAAATTATAGTTTCTTGCTGTTTATTGAATCATTGTTGTTACCACCTCTGCCACCTCATGAAAGTTAAAAAGTTGAAAGAGTAAATATTGCGACTAACTTCATGCGGAGATAAGGCTAATCACCAGGATTAAAATTGCGCAAGAGCCCATATCCATAAATACCATCGTAATTCAGACTAGAAAAAATAATTGTTTTCATTTTGCAATATGTTTTTCTAAATTATGTTTATTTTTCAATGAAAAAACAATATGCTTCAATCTATAAAAAAATGTCAAAGAATAATATTATTGGCTAGGAAATACTTAATCACTTCTCTCAAAAGAATCACTTTACTCAAAGTTAAGATTCATAAATGTTATAATTTATAAACACAAGGAAATTTATTAAAAAATTCAATTACATAAAGTTAAATACAATAATAGAAATTAAATACAATAATAAAAGATTTTGAAGCTTACTTGCAGCCAGAGGAGAGCCCTTTGCACAGAATTTATGCCTAAAGTCTTGCAAACCTTCAGTTGTCAGAGCGATTAATTCTTTTTGTAATGGTGTTACGCACGCATCAATGAACTTATCCGCACAAGTAAAAGCCTTTTCAAGTTCGCTATTAAAAATTTTAGTTGTTTTATTTTATCAAAATGACTGTAACAGAAATAATTAGAAATTTATGGCAATGGTTTTTTTTTTGTCATTAATAAGTACTATGTAATTTTTTTTCTATACATATATATTTGTTTAATTTATCTGGGAACGATTTTGTACATACTTAGCACATACTTAGAAAAAAAATTGTATCAGTTTATTTCATTAAAAAAATTATTTTCCCAAGGATATTTTTTTTATCTAATTTGGAAAATTTCATAGTTCAAAATTCATACTACTTCTATTGACATTACATAATTATGTAAACAAAAAACAAAAAAAATTAACAATTTTTTATAAATATTAGTTTTTAATTATGCATAATTTATCTTTCAATTATTTGTTAGCAAACATATGATAAACATGAATATAAAAGTAACAATAATGGATCACATTTTTCTTTGATTGATAAAATAATTGAACTGATTAATTAATATAGTAAAATATTTCTTCAAAGAAAAAGAGGTTTGTTGACACAACAATACAATCTAAAGTTACTCAGGTTTTTTGTTTACTGTATGCAATGCTAATTAAAAAAATGAGTTCCGGTGAATTGTTATTTGACATTCTGAAACAAAAATTTCGTTATGAGGAAATTGATGTTATTCAACTTAAAAGAAGGCAATTTTAGTTTGAAAAACTAAATGATTAAAACTTAAAGTGAGAGTAAAATTTTTCTACTCACCATATTTTGACAAATTATGCCACAAAAAAGAATTGACTCATAATAATAGGTCAGAGGTAATTGTTAGTTACTCTAACAAATTGAAGAATCAAAAATTAAAAATTGACGAGTTATCATTAAGCTGTTTATCCACTTATTCAAAATTAAAAACTTAACGAACTAATCCTGCGATTAAAAGAAATTACATTTAATAGTGTATATAGATAAAAATATAACTTTTTGTCCTGGTACCCAGGCTCATATAATTATATATAGAAAAATATTTGTTTTAGTAAAAGTTTTATTCTATAAATATTAAAGTAAATGAGCAATAATTACATCTTTTGTTTTTTACGCTATTTTTTGAAAGATACAATTTTGAAAGATACATTTAATTTACGATATCAGTGACATAATTTAAAGCATGCAGCAAAACTGGACACTTTTCTGAAATTAAGAAAGAATAACTTAAGAATGAATTTGTATCAAATTATTATCAATTAAGAAGAATATACTCATAGACTGATAAATATTGCCTTTTGCTTGATTTTCTCTTTCGTTTTCGCTTGTCTATTTATATAATTTTGTCAATTTATTCATATATTTAAATACATGACTTATATTATAATTTTAATTTTGTCAAATGAATTGTTGTTGAAGTTTTCTATTTTATCTGTGATATACGAGTATTAGAATCAGATTTTTTAAATCAACTTACGTGCACATTGTTTCAACCTCATTTTCAGTTACGGGTATGGATCCTTTATCAAGTGTGTCTAACCAATCAAGTGCTATATCTACGCATTTGCAGAATTCACTTGAATGACAGTTATCAGACAATACCAAACAAGGAAATGCTGCAAAATTTAAGAATATATACATGTAGACAGTCATAATATTGAAAAGTTACTTTTTAAGTGTTCAATGCAATGAATCAAATATTATATCAAATATAGTTTTGAAATATTAAGCTCCCTGGAGATTGGTCTTCTAGTGATTTGAGAGAAGGAGTTTTTGCTGTGAATTCAGCTATGTTTCAACAAAATCAACAAAATCAAATATCAATAAGGAAAATTCCAATTTTATCTAATTCTTAGAAAAAGAAAGTAGTTTCTAGGTTCCAAAAAATTGAATCATGGAATGAATTTAAACAAAGGATAAAGAAAAAAAAATTTAGGAAGCTTGACTTAAGGAAAAATTAAAGTGGTGCTTATGAAAATAAAGTTAGGGAAATCTACAATACTGTTATTGTACTATAATAAGTTTTGCTTATATTGTATTTTCTATAGGAATTAGACTTATAATATTGCATTTTATACATGGAACTACAATATAAAATTATATATAATAAGCATACAATATTATATTTATAATATTTTACTTAATATTTAATAAACTCGGATCAAATTACGAAAAAAGGTCAGGCAGTCACATTGACTGCATTTTTTTCGATACTTTCAACTTTTTTTCTAGTTCAATTATTCAATGTTGGAACTTTTGATTTTGAGTAAGCATTTTTCTACTTTCTTCAGTTAATTAGCCACTTAATATTTGATTTTGAATAAAATTTTTCAGCTTATTGTGATTACATGAAACTAGTTTCAGTTCATTTGTGGGGAAGAGGTATGGCACATTTAAGTCTTACATTCAATTAACGCTTTTCATTTTTTTAAAAAAAAAATGATTTATCTTCCACTTTGAAGAAATGTTTTTTTCTTAATTGGAGAGAGACGTATGATTTAATTTTATATTTTAATTACATCGCATTGAATCATATTTTCAATTAGTGCATTTTAAACTACCTAAAAAGTTAAAGAAAAAATTTACAAAATGTTTTATTAAATTGGTTTATTGAACGTTTGAAATCATTTTCGTTGCTGTTTCAAAATCATTAAATACGTAAAAAAATAGAATAGTATATGTGCGTGTTATTTGAGAAGAAAATGTTTAAGAGATATTTGCTGAATCTTTTTTAGTTGGTCAGCAGCGAGATTGACCAGCAACAATGCAGTACTAAAATTTTAGATTGATAGCTGACTTTATTATATAGTTTTATTCCTTTTTTTCCCTTTTAAGTATCTATTAACGTACACATTTAGAGCAGTATACTCGATTTTGGTCATCGTACGACTTAACTTTGCATTTAATCCCTTTCTCTTTCACTGTACGACAATTGAAAAATCCATATACCTCACCTAATTATAATAACTGTTTTCTAAATGATATCGAAAATAAAATATTTTTACTATTAAATAATATGTGATCATGAACTGTTGAATGATACAAGCAATTAAATAAACATATTTTTAAAGCTTATTATTGAATGTTTATTAAGTAATAAGCATTTGTTGCGGTGATGTATTTTATAATGACATAATGAGAATTATATTTTTCATAGTGAGCAATTATGTGTTTTTTTCTAACTAAAAACAAACCGTACATTATACTTTTTACAAAAACCCTTTATATTCAGAAATTATGCAAATTTCAAGCAATTTATATGTGATATCCTCAAATAAAAATTAAACTAAATGTCTTTGCAAAATTTTTAATCTGTAAAATGATTACTTCGCAAAATAAATAATATCATATGTAAGAAGGAATTTAAAATTTGAAGCAATTCATTATACAAAAGGATGCAAAGATTAAAAAAAATCTGCTTAAAATACATACCTATTGCAATTCCTAAAATTAAGAACAGTTTCATGCTTATACAACGAGAAATTTTTACCAAATAATTGATTATTAAAATGAGAAAGATGGTTTTTATATGTATTTCGCGTAAATATCATTTAATTGCAAAATTGGCGAAAATATCATTTGATACATCATTTGATACAATCATGTTATTTGAAAAATCATTCATGCATTGAAAATTTGAAAAGTGAATATCATATTTTATCTTATTAGTCATATTTGAATCAAAATACTACCTTGATTTCTTTTTTTCCTTGTTATTTTACTCAAAACTTCAAAATTGTTCGTTACGATTCCATCCTTTGTCTTAATTTTTAATGTCTCTAAAGTCCAGACAAACAAATTTGAGAAATTACACAAGAGAAGCTTTTTTTTTAATGTTTCATGAGATTATTTTATAAATCTTAGATACTTTCGTATCATTGATTGCAAATTCTGATTGGTTTCTCTCTCCAATTAGCACTTTAATGACATTTTAAGTCCAATTTTTCAAAATGCACAACATAAAAACGTTATATATTACAAGGGGTAGCATGAATGTTGCGACAAACTTCTAGGGGAGTTAGGGCACGTCATTAGGAATAAAATTACAAATAAATTTATGCACGGAAAAGTTATCATAAGCCACTGACGGCCTTTCCCTATTATAAACTGTTTTTTCGTATGCTTCTGATTAGATCACAATAGAAAAGTATCTGCGAACGATGACATTATTGGACATGGGTTCCTAGGTAATTTTATTCCTAGTAATGCATTCTAACCTCTAGAAGTTTGTTGCAACATTTACGTTACATATAAACTTTTAACTTCCTGTTATAACATTAACCTGTTATAATTTTTAACCTGTTATAACCTGCTGCACCATTTACATTATATATAAACTTTTAACCACCTGTTATATATAAACCTTTTTACCCACTGACGTTTTAGCGAAAGGGCTCTAATTGGGAGAATATTTCTCCCCTATACATTATTTCTCTATCAGAGTACATGGAAAAACAAGGTTTGTTATGCGGAGAAAACTGAAGTTTAAAATACAACTTTTTATGTGCAGAGCCATCTGTGGGTTAAACTTGCACATTTCGAGAAAAAAATGGACTAAATAAATCACTTTATTAAAAACTATAGCTTCATGAGCAAAACCAATTGTAGTTTTAAATACTCACTCCCGAATTAGGTAAGAATAATTATTCAGATAAATGCAACAAACAATTTGTTCTCTAGTGTTATCAAGCAAATTTGTGAAACACAATTTTATAATTTGAGGAAATTTTAAAGCAAGTAAATTAAAAATAATAATTGAATGTGATATAGAATTAGAATATTTGAATTACAATAGCAGTGAAAAAAAGAAAAACTGAATTTTTTTTTTCTTTTTTGGTATAAATAAAAAAATCAAAATTGTCCTAGGTAGAATAAATGGTAAAACTTTAGAAATACTTAGTAAAAAAACAAGTATTAAGAAATTGAAATGCAATTGAGTAGAGCATCACAACTGTTAAAAAACTATGTTTGTTTAAAATAATAGCCTATTAAAGCATCGAAAGGCAGAAGTTTTTTATTCTATCGTTCTTTTTCCTCATTGAGGTTTTCATCAGAGGATCTTTGCCTCTTTAAATAATATTCAAAAGTTTCTAACTTTGAAACTTTAAGTTTTTCTTTTTTTTTCCCTTGGATGTGTTCGTGGAAACCGAAAATTAACAAAATTTTCATCACACTTTTCATAGCATCATTACTCCTTCTAAAACAGTCATCTCATTGAACATATTCCAGCATTCTGATATCGTTTATAAAATTCTACGGATTCATAAGGCTCCCATAAATATAAAATAATGTAGTTGCTTACATTTATCTTATATGAAAAAATATTTCTATTTTTTTAATTGTCAACTGCCAGTTACATTAGCCGTTAGGCCATTAAACTTCTTGCTTGCCAATAGCGTTGGAATATACAAGAAAATTCTGTCAGTGCTTCACACTCGTCCAAATGTTCTGCCGTTATTGGCCGTCCACTATCACATATAACACGCAAAGGTGAATCGGCTAGTCCAATGCGAAATAAATGATTCTGTAGACAGTCATGCCCCGTTAATAGTCTAAAAGATGCAACCTCAACTGATCGCGGGTGGTCAGGAATAAAAGATGAGTTTGTTAAAAGAACACTCCAAGGCTTGCCAGCGCAAGCCCGAGTGGCAAAATTTCTAAAAGTCATTTGATATATGAGTGATGTCAGCAGTTTAATGGAATGGAGGCTTGCTTTAGTTTTGGGCTATTGGAGAACTGCAGCTCCTCTTTTGGCAAGCATATCTGCCATCTCATTTCCATAAATACCGCAGTGTGTGGGCACCCATTGAAAAGATATCTTGTGGGAAAGTCCTTTTATGATTTCTTGGCACTGCTTGACTAACATGTTCTTACACTCTTGATAAGAGGATACGGGGCCGACCGGCCTGTGTAGGGGGCAGGGAACTATCCTTGCATCAGAAAGGTCCTGGGTTCGAATCCCGGGAAAGGCATGAATGTTTCTTCTTCTCTCCCTGTGTTATATGTCCTTTCTCCTTTGTGTGTGAATGTGACCCGCCCTATAAACGGGTTGTGGTTGTGTAAATAGCGTGGCAGAAGTCGAATTCCTGGCCATAGATGGCGCCACTGAAAAACAGGAACAATCGCACCCCCACTGCTTAAACAGGCATACGACAATAAAAAAGAGGAGATGGCCTGCATTGCTGAAGTTAAATCTGAAAGGATAACTGTTTTCTTGAAAGAGTTCTGTATCAATGATAGTTGTTGAAGAGCCATCTGGAGGGCTTTCATTTCCCGATCAAAATGCGTGGAGTAAGCTCCTACGGGTAAGTAGAAACAGGAAAGTTTGCTAAAAATTCCTTTGTTTGCCCCTTGGTCCCTAAGGGTCAGAGAACCATCCGTGTATATATGTATCTATTCCTCAGCAGGAAATCGCTGCTAAATTGTTTCAAACACAATAGCTTTTATTTGCTCTGGACTCATTTCTTTCTTATCTACTTTTATATTCAGGTGGTCCAACTCCACATCAAGAAAGCTATAGTCCAAATGGTTTGCCAAAAACAGCAGTGCCGTTTTCAGTGATCTTATGACATTGTATTGTTCAATGCGAGAGACACACTGCAGGAAACCATTTTGCGTCTTCAAATTTCTTTGTCTATTATTATCATAATTCCTCCAAATAGAATTACTTGGCAACCGAATAAGTCTCTGAAGGACAAAAGCATTTTTCTGAATTAGGTTGATCATTGGTTGGTTTGCCGAAAGCAACTGCATTGCCAAAATGGGAGTAGTTTTAACAACTCCGGTTATAATGTGCAATGCCTGATTTTGAAATACCCCCAGACGTTATATCACATCTCCCGTTTCCGAGATCAATATCTCACAGCAATAATTTAATATTGGTCGAATATACATTTTATACGTAGTGTTCAGAGTCTCTCTATCACATCCCCACTTGACGCCTGCTAAGCGTTTAAGAATAGGTAGCATACGTTCAGCCTTAGAAACAACATGCTCTGCATGCCTTCTCCAGCTTAAACGCATGTCAAAAATACAGCCAAGATAGGTAGCACCACCCGTCTGCAGTAGAACCGAATTCTTATACATTACACTTGGAGTAAAGCTTTGTCTGTTAAGAGTGAAAAACTGACGCGTGGTTTTCCCTTGATTCACTCTCATATTGTTAGTGGAACACCACTTCTCTAGTCTCTGGAGCGCAGAGTTTAAGGTTTGGTTTAAACCGTCTTGTTCTTTTTTAGAAGCTCTGGCCCATACTACAAGGTCATCGGAAAAAAGGGTGGTGTTTACGAGCCCCTCTGATTCTAAGATGTCTGGTAAATTGTTGATAAAAATGTTAAAATGAATGGGGACTAATAACTGTGCCCTGAGGCAAACCAGTCTCAACTTGTTTATATTTTGAAGTACTGGTGCCATAACGAGTAGCACACAAACGTTGGGTCATGAAATGTTTTATCCAAAGGAACATTTTTCCTCCAACACCCAATGTTTGAAGCTTTCTGACTGCTTTTAACCTCCAAACTTTATCATACGCAGCTTTGAAATCCACATAAACATCCAGTACCGAATTTCGTTCATCAAGTGCATCTTTAATAGACTGGCTTAAGGATACGACTTGTTGGCTTGTAGAATGGTAATTTCTAAATCCCGCTAGTTTGGGAGATATGAGGCCATTGGTTTCCAAGTACCATTTAAGACGGGCAATTATCATTCTCTCCATTAACTTTGACAACACACCGGTCAAAGCAATTGGTCTAACTCCTGCTTTGGTGTGTTTTCCTTGACAATTGGAGTCAAGATGACCTTTTTCCAGACAACAGGAACAGTCGAGTTCCAACTCTTATTATAGAGCTTAAGGAGTACATCCAGGGTGTTTACACCAATATTCTTTAAAAACTCGGGGTGGATATTGTCTGGACCTGAACTTTTTTTGCCTTTCATTTGTCCGATAGCTCCCCGTAATTCTGAAATAGTGAAATATCTATTAAAAACTAAATGTCTCTGAGGGCATGAAGAAAATTCCCTGATGATTGTTTTCCTAAGGGTCTTCTGACTCTTCTTTAGATCGCTTCTCAAGCGTTGTCTTTTGCAATAAAGGGAGTTAAAAGCATAGGCAATGTTCATGTCATCCGTCAGTATTTTTGAGCCCACTTTCATAGGTTCTCTTCTCACACCACTCTCCTCCCTTTTCACTTCATTGACAAAATTATAAATCCTTTTTCCCTCCTTTCTATAATCCATATTATTAATGAAATCAGTAAAACACTTTTTCTTTGCCGCAGTAACTTCTCTTCTAAGGATAGCTACATCTCTTCTCCATGTTTGGACGTCTTTAGAATTTTTAGTTTGTTCAGCAACATTTCGAGATTTAATGGATACGCTCTTTAATTCAGTCAATCTATCATTTCAGAAAGCTCTGAACCCTGTTTGTTTACCTCTTGGCATCCACTTCTTGGCGATTGTTAAAATCAATTCAGAAAAACCAGAGAATGATTTATCGACGCTCATCTCAGGATCTAGAAATTTGGGTGCCTGCAAAAGGATAGCCTCAAGCTCCAAGCAAAAGTTTTCCCAGTTTACTTTCCAAAAATTTCACCTATTTCTGACTTTATTTACTAAAGGGAAACAGGACTGTAATCCAAAGCTGGTCGTAATCATGCGATGTCCAGAACCTGGATCATAGATGACCTCTCTTCTTGCATCTCCAGTTAAATCAGCAGCGACTAATATCAGATCGGAATTTGTACCATTTCCATTATAATGAATATATGAAGGAATATCCGTGTTCTGGAAAATTATTTCTATTCTGCTTGAGTTGATCAAGTCTTCCATTATCCTCCCTGCATGGTTATAGTCATTATAATCCTATCGAGGGCTGTGAGCATTGAAATCACCACGGAGGATAATTTTATTAAGGTAGGACAGGCCCTGACAATTTAATTTATTATTGTTAGGTGGGCTATAACAAGCATAGATGGTGAAATAAGATTTTTGTTTCTAACGTCGATTTTGACCAGCTCAGCCCCAATAAGAGAGGCTAAATCATTGGCAATGTTGAATTTGGATGTCAAGTTCTTTTTAATACCAACCAAGATTCCACTAGCGATTCTTCTTGATTTAGGCAAAAAATGTAAATAGTAATTATCAAACATGAAGTACTTTACAGTTTCTGTAGATAAATTTGCCTCAAAAATAAGAAATACATCTATTTGTCGGCCATTTAATTCAGTCATAAGCTGCGTTATCTTTTATTGAGAAAAACCACCCGCATTCCATTGGACTATCACTAAGCGCTGTTTGTTCTTAGAAGGACAGTTTGAAGGATTTCTAGGAGCCATTGGCAAGCGGCAAAGCTGTAGCAGATTTTGCGTAACCCAGGGTGCATCAACGAGGTGGCCTGCTACTTTACACCCCCTGGTTGATCTCACTTTTGAAGAACGGTGTTAAAACTGATTAATCATTAAAAAAATTCTTTTTTGGATAAAACTCAGAGTTAAAATACGGAAATATTACGAAGTGGATTTAAAGTTGTTTGCTTAGGAAAATACTAAGCAAAAGTATTTATTACCTTTCCATTTGCACATGGAGTATTTTTATTTCTTGAATAACCTTTGACGTTTATTATAGAATTTTTTTATCCACTTTTTATAAGTCCTGAAAAAGCAAATCAGGCGGAGATAAATTAGTTGAAATCCATTTTTCAATCAGTTAAATGTGTCAAATATATGTAAAGACGGATTTTAACTTTTTAACGTAAATATTGATTAATTTGGCTGTACTTTCTTTCAGTTTCTAAACAGCGCCATTGATGCTTAGTTTTTGCTTTGAAAGGTATTGTGCATTCTTTTAACTTAGAAAAAAATTATAGCAGCTTCCTTTTAAAAAAAAAAGATATAATTTATTGGTTTGCGAATTAATCGTTGCAAATAAGTGGTCAGTTCGATTTTGGAAATAATGCTATGATTTGATTTATTTAGAGAAAAGATTAATTTTGGTACAAAAGATGTATTTTTTTAGTGCCGACAGAAAGATAAAATTTATATTTCACCCTTATAGTTATGTTGTACTTAAAACATCACTCTTGTAATTCTTTTCAATTATCTTACTACAAATTTGGAATTATACATGAAAAAGTGCAACAAATACCCGTTTACTTATAAAACCATGTTTTGAATAATATCCCCTTGAGAGGGTGTCATACTATGGGAGAAACTTTTCATTTCAAATTCACCCCCAGAAGTAATTTAAAATTTAAAACATAAAAAAATGAGTTCAGGCAAACCTACAGTTCGTCATGAAATTTCAATTGCTGAAAAATAAACTAAAAATATCAAAAGGCAGACAAATTCCTGAGAGAGAACTTCTACATTGTATAATACTAAGCTATCTTCTCAGAACTTTTTTTTTTTACATTTTGATATTTTGAAAATTTCTTTTCAGTATTTGAAACTTTAAATCTTACTCTTAGTTTTTCTGAATTCCCTTTTTTATATACTATAACTTTTCAATTACTTATGGAGATAAAAGGGACTTTGCAATAAAAAAATTTTCACATGGTATAGAGTCATCTTAATTGTTTTTATCTTCTTTTTTTTAGTTTTGGTACATAGGATATCTTGTATGTGCCTGGCTAGAACACAAAAAATGAGATTTTTTTCTGTGCCAGCAAAAAGATAACATTTACACTTCAGCCTTAAATTATGCTCAATTGTAATTTTTCCCAGCACCCTATGTTTTTTTTTAACCTGTAAAATATCATTCCTTATAAGTTCCTTAAAAATAATATCAATTATCTCAGATTTTTCTGCTTTACATCACGTTTAATATTTCATAGTTTTGCCACCGTTACAATAATATTTAATGATATAATGCATTACTCATATGTAATTCAGTATTTGTTTACTTCAAAACTTGCTGTGTTCGTTAGGTATTGGGATATTGACTTTAATAGAGCCATGTGTCAAAATTTCGTCAAACATTCATTTTACTGTTTGCCTGTAAATTAGCACTGTTGTTTGATGATACCTTTAATTTACTCAGTCCATGTGTTTTGCATTCGTTTCCACTAAAACTTTATAAAAGGCATATCTGCCACACTTTCTGAAATGCATTTTGAAAAAATAAATAATGAAAATACTCTGTTTAGTATATTAAATGCTGGTATATTACATTTGTCACTGTAATCATATAGGGATTTCAAAACAACTTTTTCATAATCGTTTTTTTTTTATCGCTCTACGTATTTCTTATCAAAACTTACACAACGATTAACACAACGATTAACGTACGTAAACTAATAACTGTTTCCAAGAAAAAAAGAAAGAGTACTAAATTTCTTTTACTACTTACTAAATAGTTTGCCACATTATTTATATAAATATATCTTTAAATTATTCTACTACTGTTTTTGTAATTCTGTAGCCTGTTTTAATTCTAAGAAGTTCCACCCATGTTAGTATTTTTCGCTGATTCGCATGTCCTCTCGGAAAAAAATGAAAATTCGACAATTCTAAGCTAAATTTCGCTGTTTTCAAGAATTCACGTGATTCGTAACGAAATAGGAGTTTTCCAATCTATGACGAAAATATTTCTTCGTCTCAAAACCTCATCATTGTGGATTGTGGAAGATTGTTAACTGGAATGACGAAACTAGATGAAGATTAGACAACCGAAATTTAAGTAACGAATTAAATGGTGAATGTATGGTGGTCTAGGAGTTGGCCTCGTATTAGAAAGTTCCCGGGCACAAATTCCCCTTCGGTTAAGGGATTAATTTGTTATTTTTAAATATTATTGACTCTGCTATATGGTACTCAAGATAGAGTTATAAATAGAAATTTCAGATATATTAGTCATAAAAAAGGAGATATTTTTTTTTTAAAAAAATTAGAAAGGTGAAATATTATTTTACTATTGACGAAATTCTTTTCCTCAAATAAGTAATGATAGTTATTTCGTCATTTTGTGGAAATATTCACTTGAAGCATATACCAAGAAACGGTTTCGTCAAAAGCCAAAGAAGTTTCCTGAAATTTGAGTTTTCATTTTTTACAGTGTGATTACTTTTAATTACCCACCTCTTAAATATATAAGTTGTTGGCAAGATTGAGGCGCATTTCAAACTACCAGACACCAGCAATCTTTCAAAAAACTATTGTCACATTGATGATATTGTTATATGAAAGATTACATGGGTTAAAATAAACTAAATAATGTTTTTTTTTTTTAAAATGAGAATATTATATCGAATTTAAATGCATAGCAGTTTTATACAATGAGCAGGCTAGCATTAATCTATTTTAACTATTATTATTTATCTCCTATAAATGTACAATATTGAAAAAAATAAGCGGACCACCCCGAATAACTTTTGATTTAACGACGTTTTAGAACTCATGGTTCGAAGAGGTAATTTTAAATATGTTAATCAATTAATGCATACAATATTTTAAGTAACGAAGTCAAACACAAACGCGTACTCTGAATAAACATACTTTTTTTCAATGGATTTGGATTTTTGACTCCCAAAATGTAATGGGTATCTGTGATCTGGGACGTAGAATTCCAGTAGTTTTTTAGGAGAGAGGTCGAAAGTTTTGACCCCTTAATGATAATTATATGTTCACGTTTTTTGTTAAATATCGAGAACATTTTAAGCAAACTGAAATACTTTCGCACGCAGCTATAAAATTCGTTTACACAAAGATAAACCTATGCAAAAAATAGCTTTTAGTAAATATTTATTATACTTCATAATTTTATTTCATATTCGGCAAAATTATTTTGTCTTGTAAAATATACATTTTTTTACATTATTTTAAACAATGTAATTTTATATGATAAAATACAGAGTTTAAATGGAATCGGACGAATTGTTTCTGAGAAATTTTTTCTTAAAAAAGTCGTGTTTTTAAGTCTATTAAAAATGCTATTATTATTTTGCAGTTAATTAAATAGTTTTCAAAAAAAAAGATTTGAGCCTTAACTCATGCAATGTGTAATGATTTAACAACCACTTTTAACTTTTACATTAAATTTAACTATGATATTCAAGATGTTTTAATTAAATAGGAAAAATTCAATGTAAAAAGTGTAACCAGTTCCAACAGAAGTTTGTGATTCCCTGTTTGCATGTCATTTTTTATTTCTGTATGGTTGCTTTACATCTTTACTTTGCCCTTGTTATTTTGAACCCCTTATAGTAACAAAGAATACGTAAACGTTAGAAAAAAATAACAAAAAACAGTTTAATCACAATAGCTTAGTAAAGGATGTCACAAAACTCAAATTTCTGTGATATCGTTTAGGTACATAGAAACAAATGACTGTGCAATGTGTGAGTTCTTGAGAGTTCCTTTCGGTTGTGTTCCTGGAGGTGGAAGAACAGCCTTGCAAGTATCTCCCTCAGGATCGAATCCGGAACACAGTACATTTGGAAGAGTTGAGACAGCCATTTCTACAACCTTATGGAAAGAATCAACAGCTCCTTTTCCGCACTTTGCTTCGCCAAATTCTCTTGATTTTTCAGTCATAAGAGCATACGCACTAGACAGAAAAAAATGCTTTATTAAATGCAACAGATTTAAAATAACTCAAAGCAAACAACTGGGTGTTTCAGCTGTTATAAGTCACTGCTTGTGGATATTTCTCATTGCTACGGTAAGTATATAAATTTATAAATTTTTACTGAAATTTATAACTATATAATTTCATTTTAACTAATATAGCACTATGTATAAATTTTTATTTTGAATTAATTGTTTAATGTCCTATTATTTTATAACTATAAACTAATAAAATTTCATTAAGGATAAGAAAGAGGCTTTGCTTGGTATAATACATTTTTAATAAATTTTTTATAATCGCAACAACTAAAATTTTGCTAAATGGTTAAAATTATTAAATAAGCTTCTCATTAAAATTAGCACCTCTTAATCTATTTTATCTAAGGCTAATGACGTTGCCATTGTTACATATTCGTTAGAGAATATTTTAATTAATTAATCTTCCTCACTCCGAGGCTTGTTAATTTTTCATTTTATTTTTTTGGAGAAAATGATTGTGTGTGCATTATGAAATTAAAAATGAAAGGAAAAAAATAGGAAAGTTTTACTCTAAAGATTAGAATTTCTCCTGTGTGATTATTGCAAACTAATTTTTTTTTCAACATAGAGAAAGAAAATAAAATAGAAAGATTTTTATTTTTTTCCTGTGAGGAGATTATAGTGGGAATGGCAATTAAAAACTATTTTTAAATAATAGCAATATTTTTATGCATAAAATCATTTTATGTCTTGAAATCGCTTAAATCCTCGTAAAGAGTAACTTTAAAGGTATCCGATTGGATGGAAATCAAATAAAAAATCGTTTTGTTTTTTTTATATATTTTCAATCTTCAAAATCAATCATTAGCTTACGAAAACCCTTAAAAAATTTTATCTCTGAATTTTAGATAGGAAGTTCCAGTTGTTGTTTCGTAATATGACAGACGAAACCGAATCGGAACTAAACTTACGAAAATGAAAATAGGATTCTGTTTTGTTTGGTTTATATGAACCCCTATTCATTTGAAGAAAAGAATATTTTTAAGAAAAATAATATTCATTTCCATAAACTAATTTTTTCGTGGTTAGAAGTTTCTTACGTTTCAGATTTTTCTTGCTTTTTAAATTGGATGAAATTTTAAATTAATTAAAAATTTTATCCAATGACGGTTTTACAGTTTTTTATTATGGATGTCAAATGATTTCAGTGTGTTACCTCATTTTAACTTGGAAAATCAACCGAAGTTTAAACCGGGCATAAATTCATAAAATTTAAAAAAATAATATATTTTTAAATAATTTTAAATATTTGCAACACGTGCTTGGTAATTAAAACAAAAATCTTACCAGCAGATTGTAGGAAGTCGATCCTGAGGGGCCTTCACTGACATTTCCTCCAAAGTTGCTTCCACGTATTTGGAATGTTCCTTTGCTTCCGGTGTCTTTGAAGATTCGTCAATACATGGTGCATTCTTCAGATAATCTGTTAACACGGATATTTAAGGGTAAATTTCTTTTAAAAATCATTTTGGAAAAATTAATTACTGATTTTTATCATAAATTTTCATTATTTAGATTTCCACTCACTAAAGAGTAATATTAATGCTCGAAAAGAACGAGAAATTCTTGAAATATTCCAATTAATTAATGTTGTGCTCTTTCTAATATCACATGGATAAACCAAGCTCGCCAGTCATCATCATTTTGTGAATTAGGACAAAAAGGTGCTCTTTCCGTTTGACAAGAGAGCACCACAAGGGTGAAAGTATGCTTTAGCACAGAATCCAATTGATATTTGGCAGCACTACTCATTTGTCAGGTCATTTCATCAATTCAAACATAGATCTGAAGATAATGAAAATTTTCTCATTCCTGTACAACACATGACTTTCAATAGTACGGAGGACTTTGGATTTCAGAAATTTTATGAGCATGTACTCGGGCTAATTAATTAATTATAACTATTAATAGTTTCATTATTCGATGCAAAAATCTTTCTATTGCTAAAAATATTTTTCTTATTTATAGCTGCAAATGGTCCAAATTGTGAAGTTGGGATTGCGAAATATTATTCAGAAACTTCAAAAACTTTTAATTATCAAAATTTTAGATTGTATTGTTTTTTCACTTTTAAGTGAGAGGGCATGAAATTATTTTCATGAAATGCAAGAGATACAATACCACTGCATTTCATTTTTTTTTTTAATTTTTTGTCTAGAGGTTAATTTGAAAGTATAAACTTTCAATGTTACTGAAGTTGAAAAAAAATCCTATAACTTAATTAAATACCAGAGCATTTCTTAACTTTATTGATTTCGGATAACTTCAACTGCTTATTTTTAACTTTCCTTGACTGTTTATTTGTTGATTTACTTGTGAATATGCTTAATATGCCATTTGACACTCTTGAAACTGGAGGATCACTTTAACTGACAATTATAACTCACATTTTGCTGATTGCCTAGAGATGTGGTATTTTCCCAAGCTTTGGAAACATGCATTTTGTACTTACTAAATCGTACGATAATGATCTGCTATATTGTCTAAGCAAATGAAGTGTCAGAAAAAAAGACCTAAGCCATGCTTCAAGTAGGAAGATAGTGTAGGCTATTATCTGTAGCCTGGATCTTTTATTCTATCAATTAGAAATTAAATGGGTAAAAGCAGGGTATCCCAACCTCGGGTGCATGATATACCACTTTAGATGCCCAAATTGCATATCATTATGGTCCACATAATACTCTACTGCTCCACCTACTAGAGTTTTTTTTTTGTGTGTATGCTCTTGTTTAAATTTCTGAATATACTCTGCTGATTTTCTGAATGAATCTGCACATCCGACTGAGTTGGAATAAAATTAATTAAATCAACCATGCTCTCAATAGCTAAACAATATTGTAAAAAAAAGAATTAATAAATAAATAGAACGAAAAAATTGATTCCTCCATTTAACATATTAAGTATTTGATATTTAAAATAGAAAAGTTAAATTTATAGCTTCTAAATACTAATGAAATATCTCACCAGTTCTAATTTCTGATCCTTCTGTACAGAAGTCCTTATATACTTCAAGAGATCCTTCGGTCAAGAAACTCATAGTCTGAATTTGCATTGGTGTCATGCATTTCTTTTGAAAATCTTCTGCACATGTCTTTGATTGTTCGATTGCACTGTTGAAATAGGAAAACAAATAACTTATTTTTAACTAGACATTAAAAATAAATCGCCCCCAAAAAATCTATCTATTATATTTATTTATTTATAATATTTTACTATTTTAAATCAAAAGTGAATCATGCTTATTCTTATAAATAAATTGTGAATCAAGAATTTCTTTCAACCAACAGATTTAGGGATATTTTAAGAGCAGCTTAATGATTAAATATTTTGTCTTTTAATTTACCTTTTACGCTATATTGATTTTCAATCCAAAGAAATTAAACTTCTACTTGAATTGTTTAAAGAGATATCTTAGATTCATTTTTAGTTTACCTTGAATTCTTTCGTAATTTGCAGAGTTGTCAATCGTTTCAGCTTCATTTTTTTACTCAACAAGTTCGACATTTTCCTGGCTCTATGTTACCTTGACATTGAAACTTTAAAGCTATTGTTAGTTTTTGTTAGTATTACCTACTGTTACGCTTCTGCTTGATATTTCCAGTAATTTTAAAATATCAGATACTTTCCTTCGATTGTGTTGCAAAAGCAAGATCTGCGCTCTTTTATACTCACTAATATGTCCCGTAGCTCATCTTAAAACAAAAACTGACAGTCTTACGAAATCCAAGGAGTCGTAAATTTCACTAACAGAAGACGTTGTTTTTGACATTAATTTTGAAAGGTAATAATGAAAGTTTTCAATATTTATAATTTAAGGAAAACAAAGAATTACAAAAAAAACGACAGGTAATAAAATATTTTTTTGGTGCTGAAAAATAAATTTTAAAATTTGGGAAAATAAATTAAATTTGATTCTTTGTCTTTCATTTTACTTCCATTTGTACTATAAATTGTACTTTTTCATGCTGTTGTTCCTTGTGTTGCAAATTAAGCAAGATTTCAAGCTACGGATATTCTTCTAAAAGAATTATAAACAGTTAGTAATTTATTGTTTTCACATTAATGTTTATTTTTTGCATATTTTTCAATGTTTTTTCAAGATCTACTGCGCATGTCTAAAACAAGAATATTTTTAATTCATATTTAAATTTTTTTCTGTGTTGAACAGGAAAATCAATGATTTGTTTCAAATTAAACTATATATTTATTTAAAAAATAATGAATTATACAAATTTTAATATTTTTTAAAGTGTAACAGAGAAGTAAATGATTTAAAGAAAAAACAGAGAAGTAAATGATTTAAAGAAAAATACATTTCGATTGAAACAAAAATACATTCGATGCATTTACAAGATTTTGGTTTTCCCAGACAAATTGCCTTCAATACCTTCAATAAGCCAGTAATTTTCCAAAAATGTTTTTTTAAGCCCTCGACAATTGAACAAGCAGATATTTGGGATGCTCTTACATATTTCATTTTAGCATCAAATGAGGATATAAACTTTTTTTACTCGAAATTAACCTGGTATTTATGGTTAAAATTACATTTATGTAGACATTTCGGATACTTAAACTTTGTCTTAGGAGTGTTTCGTAGTTATCTTGAATTTTTGCAAATACCTCATGTTTCGAAATTTCAAACTGTTTTTTGTTATGCGTATTGCATAATGAGTTACATTCTTGTCAGATTGTAGAACTCCTAAAGTGCATCATTAAAAAATTGGATTAAAGTTATATGAGTAACATTAATAAGTTAAAAAGTGTTATAAAAATATATTCTATCTGTATGACCTAAAAGGACATGAAACATAATTTTTTTGGTGTTTCAAAACTGTTTTTTATCTTCCAAAAAATTGGTTATGGAAATGTTTTGACATTTATTCAGGTGTTTTGTGCGTGACTATAGTTAAATAAATTGAATATTTCTAATTACTTTTAAATTACAATCTAAATATTTTTCCTCTCCCAGTAAACTTTCTCCAGCACAAACATGCATTGTGCACTGAAACTTCTTGAAAATTTCTCTTTTTGTTAAACTATTTTACATATTATAAGATTTTTAAAGAAATGTGTAGTTTTTGAAACCCTTTCTTCATTGCGTTTTCTTAAACAAATTAAAAAAGTAACAGAAGAGTAAAATGAAGTTTATTATTTGATGAATGATTCCGTGCTTATTCAGATATTAAATTTTAGTTTTTTGCTACAGCGCTATTTTGAGCTATTTTTCATAGCTATTTTATTATAGATACCTGCATAATTCATTGACTTGGGCATTGTCAAGAGGGAAACTTGTTCCCATCTTTTTACGGAAGTCTGATATAGGGTCTCCACATGCTGCTAACACCGACGAATGGCATTTTTCAATGGCCGCTCCAAGTGTCTTGGCAGCTGAAAAAAAAATTAAGAAACACATTTTTTTAAACTTTTACACAAAATAAAAATCTTAGTCACTAATCTAGAAATAGATCATGATAAGCAAATTTTTTTTAAAAAAAAGCGTGTTTCCCGGGCTAATTAATATGCTATGAGCCACTGGAAAGTTGGAACATTTAGTTTGTCAAGTCTTTCAATAAGAAGTTTTATAATGTGAATATAATGTTTCATTTTTAATTTCGGGATTTTTTTTAAAGTATTTTATAGCTGAATCCTTCAAATGCTTGTGATGTCAACTTTAAAAAATTTTTTTCAAATTTTTTTAATGTCGTTTGCGAAATAGTTCTAAGAGGGAGTCAGAGATAAACATTTGATACATGAGTACAAAAATAATTTGTGAAACTATCGGTTAAATATAAAGGAAAATACAGCATGTGACATTTTTCATAATTGTTAGGCTATACAAATCACTGTTAATTGGTGGTTACATAAAATATGTTTTAAGAGAACTTTACATAATTTTTTTAAACTTTTTTATTCGTTTAAATTTTATCATCGGAAGGATTTAAATTTTACTATGCACCAGGAGTTTCGTTAATGATGCAGCTTTTCTTATTCTTAATCAAAAAATTGTTTTTCAAAACATGAAAAAAAGTCTCAAGATTAAGGAATTATTGTTTATTTTACCAATGTCTATTTATCTTTGTTAATTATTGTTTTTACTGTGAAATCTTCCGTGATTTTAGGTTGTGACTGATTTTTCAGGCATGATATTGAGTCTTAAAATTTAATTTCCTTTCTATCTATTTCAAATAGGGCAAAATAATTTCAAACGAAATATATTTTAGTAATTCAGTTCTTATTTTAATTTACTGCACAAAACTTTATTAAAAATTTCAGCAATGTCATTAATCCGTTAATTTTAAATGGTAAGAATATATAAATAATTAAAATTGATAATAAAAGTTAATAAATAATAAAAGTTGATATTTTTAAATTTAAAGCGCAATTCTTTTCGCAACTCATTTTACAGTTTAATTCTTATTATGGAACTGCAGTTTGTTGTTACTACGAGTACCATAAATGATTTACCTAGACTTAGTGAATACTTTTGAAATGTCTTGAGAATCTTATTTGTTGAGAATCTTATTTGTTTAACCGAATACTTGTAACATAAAAATATTTTTTGCTGACCTTTTCGGGCCAGGTGTGGGCATAGAATTATGAAGAATGTTAAAATTCAATATGAATGTTAATATGTTAATATGTTCAATATGAATGAGAGCAAATTGCAATCATATATAAAATATATTTATTGAAAAAAAATAAAACAATTTCGAAGATCATTTCACTGAGAAAAAAATATACTCGAAACTACTAAAGTATAATTAAATTTCCAGAGTTTCTGGTTCTATAGGAACACTGAAAGTCTCGGCACTTTTTACCGAAGGGTTTTTAAAATGTTTTTGGTGAAATTTACAATGAAATGTGATTCAATATTCTATGAAAATATGGGCAGTTTATTTATAATACCTTAGTGTAAGGAATAAAACTATTTATTCGGTTTAATTTACTTTTTTATTTATTTATTTTATTTTTTACTAAATGTGTGGTAATATGAACTATAATTTTTTGAACAGGAATTTTAGGTAAACCGTTCCCATATATTATTATTTTTAAATACACTTATATTTCATGTTTTAAAACTAAAGATGTGTTTCCCTTTTTTTCTTTCAGAAATATCATGTCCATACAGTACGATAATTATATTAGAATTTTTTTTCTCTGTGATATTATCAGTTACTAGGCATCTTTTTATTATAAAATAAATAAATAAAATAATTTTTTTAAAAATTATTATGACAAATTTCTTGATAGTTAAAAAGAAAAAGTAAAGCATCAGTTTCGGCATTTTGATCTACACTGTAAAAAATCCCACATCAAATTGTGGCAAAAATGTCTCCCAAGATGTCAGTATAATTTACCGGAAAATTTTACCATTTAATATTTGATCCGTAATTTTTACAGTAATATTTACGGTAATTTTACTCAATTACTGTAATTAAATGAATACTGTAGACATTATGGTATAAAATGTTGCAGGAAAAGTATATGATATAAATTTTACAGATGTTGCGCTCAGGGTGCTAGAATTTTCATCGTAATTTGATCTCGATTTTTTACAGTGCACTAATATTGTTTAATTTAAAATTAAATTTTATGCATGACGTATTCTATAAACAATTCAATTCATCACTTTTATTTAAATATTTAAGTAATAGACTTTTACTAATGAAAATTAACTATTAGAAAACATACCGAACTGCAAATTATTATTAGATGTTAAATGCATGTGTAAAAATTATTTTTACACTATATATTAAACACTATATAAAAATCTATTTTTTAATATGAAAGCCTGATTTTTTTAAGCGACGAAATATTATTATTCAGTCGACAATACATTTTTTGCATTATTTGCCGCACTTAATTTTATCTTTATACTAATTATATCTATTATAACTTTATACTAATTTACTGCTAAATTTTAACAGACTCAATACTTTATTAACCTTTTTAATGTAGTAAATGATCTATAAAGTGTTTCAAAAATGACTACATATTTAAAAAATTCCAATCAATAAATTTTATTTGGCTACAACCGAATATTACTTTATAATCGAAAATACCTATTGCAATTAAAAATAAGTAAGATTATAAGACTATTTTATTAAATAATATGACATGAAATTAACTTGCAATAATTTGATTTGATTTTGGGGAAAATAGTTATTCACATTATTCTCAAGTTTGACATTATCTAGAAAACATCAGTAATTTTTACGTCAAACTATGCATACATTGTAGTTTAAAGGATTTGTCAATTTGAAACTTTGGAATTAAATGTATTGTGAAAGAAATGTAAATAAATCCAGTTTCTTTAAACAATATTTTATATTTGATACCTAAAATGTTACTTAATATTTATAATTATGTGTTTTATAATTAAAATGTTTTTTAATTTCTAAAACTTTTAATAAAATATAACAAGGACTAATTATAATAATTTCTTAATCATTCATCTAATCGATAATCTTTGATTATAACTTACCAAGGCCAATAAACAAAACCTGGAGTATTAAAAGTTTCATATTGATCCTAAAGAAGTAAACTACTGAACTACTATTCTAATGCTTCAGTAACATTTATATAACTTTTAAGCAATGGATGGGGATGATATCATTAAGGCAAATTAAAAAAAAAAAAGACAGCCATGTTTTTTGTTAGATTCTGTTTGAGGAAAAGAGTGATTGTCTTTTGTTATAATCTACACGAAATTTCAATAAAAGGAGTAACGCCCGCAGGTCTTAAAGTCGACAGGATTTTCCTTAGTATGACCACGTGAGGCAATATTCAGTTAGTAGATGATTGCGCAATTTCAGCGTTAATGAATGCTGTTGTTTAAATATTACTTTAAATGTCCCCTGTCAATTATTTTGATGGGCATTTTTTTTTCTTTTGCTAGGTGTTGCAATTATTAACATTTATTGAAATTATTCTATCTCTTTGTTACTGACGTCAAGATGTTTATTTGCTTTTTCAATGTAGTTTTATTTTTTTTATTACGATTAAAATTTATATAAAAAGGGCTGCGTTTGTACATTATATTGCATCTGAGCAACGGTAATTTTTCAGAAGATTATTATTAAATTTCCTAACATTAGAAAAATATTACTATTTTATTGCTTAACTACCGGTCAACACATGAATTGCTAATGTTTTAGAATAAATTTTAATAATTATACATTAAAAAATAACAACTGAAATGAATTACTAATTGGATTTGGTATATGTTTCTAAATCAGCTATATGGACATGTATATTGAGAAAATATTTAAATAATGTAATTATATTAAGGTTACTTCTCATCAGTTAGTAAATAAGAAATTTTTCATTCCGTATTTGATTGTATCTCGATAATCTATTTAATTTTTTAAGCATCTGTATCCACATTATCTCAACATATCACCATATATTTAAACAAATATATGATGATATTTAAGATAATTAAACACAATTATCTATGTGTTTAACATGAAATATTTATTTAAATATACACGATTATAATATATTTACGTTTAAACAACAATCCATATTTCTATATAGCCAGGTTCAAAGTCAATTTGAGTGTTTTCATCAGTTGATGATCAATTTCTAAACATTTTTGATGCATTTTTCTAACGTAACTTTTATCTTTCTTTTCTCATTTAATAACATATTCGTTTATTAAGGAAAAAAACCATAATAACATTTTAAAACCTACGATAAGGGCAAAACACATGATAGATATGATCATAATTTAATAAAAAGTGCTTCTAAAATTGCGCCTTTTTTAAAGTATTGATCTCTAAATGATAATAGTATTTCATCGCATTTGCTGGAAAAATGTTATAGCAAAATACCCAAAATAAAATATAATAATTCGAAGGCCATAAGTTTCATAAATGAATGTCAGAAGGAATAAAGATAGTTGAAATAAACAAAATCTTAATTTTTTTCCGTTATGCTTAAATATCACTAAAGGAAAGCTAGATAAAAATCATTGTTTTTTATTGCAAACTTAGCGTAATAACTTAACTAAATTGACTTATTTTTTAAGAAACGTTTTCATACAATAGCTAGTAGATAAAAATATTGGAAAAGGAAAATAAATTTCGTGATATGGTATGGAAATCAGGAAACTTACAGCATTCGAATGCAGTTACTTTAAAAAAAAAATATTAAGAAATATTGTGTTTTTCCTTTTCATTTCATGATAAAATTATGATAATTGTTATTTCAATTGTTTGAAATAAATTTAAAAATTAAATATCTGAGTAGCAGAATTTTAAACCGATATTTACTCAAAACTTTTTTAAGAAAAATAAAAATAACTTAACATTATTTCTTGACGTTGCTTTCAGACTCGCAACCTTAATTTCCATTTTGAAAAAGGGTGAATATTAAAAGGAGAATTTTTGGCAAACTCAGTAAATAGGGACCATTATGTATTGTTTTAATTGATAAATTTGAGGCCTATATATGTTTATTTATTTTATATATCATCTATTTTTGCTTATTAAATAATTTTAAAATTAAACATACCTTTCGCTTACAGCACTTAGCCAGTCATTTTGATTCACTTGCTGCACCAGTCGTAAACAAAAAGTTAATAAGCAAACAAAGCAGTAATAAAAATGTTTCCCTGACTACCCAATAATTATTTTGATGTATACCGTCACATCTTAAGATAGTTTGCTGCCTAAGAATTTCATTTCTCAGATTATGATATTGTTGAGATCCATCTTTTCCGGCTTTCTTAGGTTTTAGGTTAGCTCATAGTTAGACAAAAATTAACAATTTAATATTTGATAATTTTTGTCATACTAATAATATAAAAATGACTGTTATCATATTCTGATATAAATGCTACATTGGCTAAACCCTCACTAAAAATGTGAATGTTTCATACTAAAACAGCTTATCAGAAAATTCTGACGGTATTATATTTCTACTAAGAGTCCTCTTTTCTCGCCATCTCACAGATGACAGGTTAAATCTTTGATTTTAGTTTTTTTAGATGTTTTATTGCTTTTAACAAACTTTTAATATTAGTATGTCGTATGAAAGTTTGATACTTTTCGATGCATGTGAAAAAAAAGGATTCACTTTTTTGGATTGGGTGCACTAGCATTTAATAATTTTTACAGTTCCTACGGATTTTTCACCAAAATTTATTGTTGCAAAATTAAGTGATTAGTAGCTATGGACAGGTAGTTTTGTAACACACATTTTTCTGCATTTCAATTTTTAAAAATTTGCATTTTTTGTTTGAACTGTCAAAAGCAGTTTTAAATTAAACTAAAATCTTTCTTAACGTAAATTAAGCTGCACGATAGTATTTTGTAAGAAATTGTAATTTAGACAAATTAATGAAATTGAAATTTTGTTATAAATTGTTTTATAATAATTTCGTTGAACCATAAATCTGATAAAATACTAAAATACCAAAAATTTCTGATTAGCATTAAAATGTTTGGTTTGGATTCGGTAGCAACTATGTATTATACATTTTTCGAAAGATATAGCCGTGGAGATGAAATAGAAACTATCAATTCATTTGTGGAAGTTTTAATGCATTTGTTTTCTAATCAAACCCTTTAGACAGTTGAATTTGGTCAAGAAGGGAAAAAAATCTTTCCAGTGTTGTAGTGGTTACATTTTCAGTGGAGAAATATTAAAAAAAACCAATGTTTTATTGTAATAAAATACAATAAAATAAAATGTAAAATTTTTTATTACTTTTTGTATTGGATTTAAAATTTTCAAAATTATATCTAACTACTTTTAAAAAAATGTAAATATTTTGAAATCTTCTTTAAATTCAAAACAAAATTTAGTGCTGAATAAGAAAAGAGCAAATAATGGTAGCACTCATAAAATTTTTACTTTTTAATCATCTTTAGGGGTGCAAATAAATATATAAGTGGACAGTAATAAACATAAAAATAATAAATTAAAAAAATTACAGAAGATAAAAAATTACGGCGATAAAGTAAGTTTACAACAGACAAAAACACATAACAAACGCATAAATATTCCTAAAATATTCATGGAAAAACCGTAAAATTGACGAAAAATTGAAATATTTATAAAATATTTACACAAACACTGTAAATTGACAAAAAAGAGAGATTTTCTCGAATAACAATTCGTTTCCTTGCGTACCCCCTTAATAATGGAACTTCTCAATCTAAAACACGTTGTGTATTATTGTGTTTTACTTTCATTTGTATCTATTGTTAGTTTTCTGACAGTTTTCTTTCCTGCGAAAGAATAACTTGAAATACAATATTACAATATATTGACATTACAATAATAAAAAAGTGAGAACAAAAATTAATCTCTATAAACTCTTACATATTGTATTGTCAACTACACCCCTCATATAAAGTATCATTTACTTGGGAATGATGTTAATTCTTTGCTAGGGTCAAATTGAACCCCGATGGTGGTTCTAGTACCTATTCATTCAATCGTTGTGATACTAGAAAAATGCATTTTTGTTTTATCTGTGTTCAATGAAAAGGTAAGGAAAAAGACTTAATAAATCACAGCACCTTATTGAGAGATAAAAAACAACTTTAAGTTACAGTAACCGCCCTTGAAAATTGTTGTCCGGTCGAAAACCTGTTTCATACCATCACGAGATGAGAATTATAACAAGTGTCAAAAAGGCAATGGGGAAAAATGGTTCCAGGTAAGACATCTATGTCCGAAACAAAAGAACATTCTACAGAAACCGAAACACATGATGCTTAACTGCAACTTTCGTTGTATAGACAATATTCTTAATCACTAAATCTTTTGGTGAGTTAATCATATTCTAGTTTTCTTCCTGCAAAGTGACCTTCCTTTGACTGATTCAAGGTGCTTAACCAAAAGTCCTTAAATCTTTTGACCTCTTTGTCCCTTCGGATTGCCTACTAAGAAGGAAAAGTGACGAAAAGTGGTCTTTTTCTTTTTTTCGTAAATTGTGATGTTTTTGTCTGACCATGAGTCAATTTGATGATCTTTGATATTATTTTTCATTTGTGTCACTTAACTGTGGTATCCAATTAGAGTTTAAATAAAGAAACAACAGACATCGTAAGAAATATAATCGTTAATAATAATGGTATGAAAAGTGAGGTATAATTTATTTGATATTCTCACAGACACAATTCGCTCATTTATACTATCGATACCTATCTTCTAAAATAATATTGCTTATTATTGTATTTTTTTTAAAAAATAGTCGATATTTTTATTATTTCATATTATTTAATCTTATGTAACTATCTGATTGCAAGAAATAAAATGAAAACAAAAAAGACAATAACTCTCAGAGATTTAAAAAAGATTGCGCAAATATATGTTTTAAATTAATAAGTTTTCATTCAATCCTTTTAAACTGTTAGACGGGTTTAAATGAAAATAGAGTACTTTACTATATTATAAATTATAAATATACTCTATTATAAACGAACGTAATAAAAACAACCCGATGTTATACTCTTTCTTACAGTTAACAAGTTTTTATGGATTTATTATAATTTCTTAAAATATCTATATACATATGTATAAGTTAATTTTTCAATTTATTTTATAAGTTCTATTTACTTTCAACTTATGCTTCAGTAAATAAAACTGATTACTGTTTTTCAAAATTTTCTTCGTTAAACTCTCTT